ATCTTATGGAATCCGTGAAAGGGTGTCATTCTATCAAAGTTTTACTATCTTGGGTGGGATTATTTTACTTTTATTTCTACTTAACTCGGTTAGATAGAGGCTATACCTAAATGAAGTAGAAATCGTATGTAGGTAAAAACGCCTAGGAATAATAGTTTTAAGGTCTAATTTAAGTTTTGGTTATATCTAGTAAGGTATCTTGTACTCTTTGCTATGAAGCACAATAACAGTGGATATAATGATGGCTATAGGAAGCATTTACGAAAAATATTCTTCAAGAATTCAACATCCTATCTAACTCATATTATGTAGATTAAAATAATTTATTCCAATAACTCACGTAGCTTTGACGCAATGTGAAAAATAGGGTATTCAATCATGGAGTAACCATTATTAAAGGTACTTTTCATAGATAGGCCCTATCATCCAAGAGGATTTTATTTGTAATCTTAAAGAAAATATTTCTCGTTTTAAAATGTTATGTGCTAGGATCATGATGATCATATAAGGCATCAATGGACAACCATTCTAGCTCTCAACATCTATAGCCTCTAATTCGAAATCTTTTTTGATTGACCAATCATAAAACTATCTAACGCCAAAACTCAACTAAATTTAATACAATTTCCGAAATGATAGCATTAAAATTAAAATTATTCCCACTTTCACGTTTCATAAACGAATTATCCTCCAACTTTAATGCTGACTGTTCGCGTAGAATTCATTAGTTTTATACTTGAGCTAGCTACAAAATAACTTGAGAAAAAATAAGCAACTCAATTATTCTTATGTTACTTGAAAAGATCTTACAGGAAAATCTCAAACATTTCTACTTAACGTTTTCAATCAATGCTATAGAATTATTTAAATTCATAGGCTAATGATGATATCCTATAGGCTAGAAATGTTGTATAGAATTATTTCAATCATGATTATAGGATAAAACTCCCTCTGGTAGCAGATCGAATCGATAAAAATTGATCATAGAAAGCGCTGCAATTTAGGGCTATAAAAGATCACTGCTAAAACTAGCACAGCTAGAGCTACTGAATAACAACAAGCTTCCATGGCCTAGCTACTGTTTGGGGCTGGAAATGATATTGCTATTTTAAAATTTTTCAATAAACTTGGTCGAGATTGCATAACATAATATTGAAGAAATAGTTTGTACGCAACAAGGAGGTTGAAGAGGTGGGGAGTATGAGGTTGTAGGGGGAAATTGCTTTCAAGGCTCACACGTCCGGGAAATTGATTCTTTTTAATAACGAGACAATAGAATTTAGGTGTTACCCAATTTCCAGACCGACATGATTATAATCACTCCTTTCGGCAATATTATTATCAATCAGATCAGACACTCATTCTTTTTCCATCATGTCTATTAACACTTATGTCAATCCAAAACCAGACACAAAAAAAATCGAAATGTCTAATTTGTCTGGTCGGTATGTTAATTATGTTGTGATAGAGGAGGTAAACGCAATCATAATAAGAGGTTTACTTTGAAAAAGGAAAACATTCCTCTTGTCAAATAACCTACTTGCATGATAGTATTGCCAATCATCTATAATGATATAATGCAAGTATTCTCTGAGGAGAATAAAATATGCTAATAGAATGTCTGATCAACATGGACGATAGACTAGATGATCTTCCTTTAAGGTCTTATGATAGAAATAAGTACTAGATCAATGTTTACATTTGATTAACGCATACTAGGTACGCTAAAGGCAAATAGGCAGGCTAGTAAAACATGCTAAATGTTAAGAATGATTTCTTTTTTCTATTCCATATTGACACTTTTACTGCTAGTAGCAGAAACGGTCTATCCTATTAAGGGAGAAGATGGAAATACGAGTATTTCATAACCGTTTACATTGATTTATTGCTTAAACTGGTTATGTTTTAATCCTATATTGATACTTAGTAACTAAATTTTGATGTCATTATCCGATCATTGACCGGCATTACCGTCGACATCAGTGATGGCAGCTATTGATATTTGCTAGAATACGGAATTTGATGAAATCCTTTACTCTCCAGGGCATTTTCTTTTATTTTATGTTTATTTTTACCTATGGCCAGCAGAACTTTTCTACATCAATTCCAGAATGTTTTGTAGTTTATTAATAGGGCTTCAACTTTCAATTATAATTACGAAAATAAATCCATAATTAGAATGTTTCGAAAGAGTTCTCTTTAGCTCTAAAACAATTAACAACTTTGAGAGATGATATTTCTTCCATGCTTATTATAAAATATTATTCACTATTCATATTGCTGTTTTTAATTTTAATGATTATTATCACCGTTTCAATCGATTTCGGTTTAAATATAGCAGCTTTTTGAGTACATTCTTTCAACGTTATTTAAGCTAGGCAAGAAAAAATAGTAGTTTCTACAAATTGATTATCCTCTTCATCACCATTGTCAAATCTATTTTATTAGCAGCAGGAAATAACATTTATTGCCGTATTATTGTCGACATAAATTAAGAAGCAATACTTTTACGTTTGTCATTAGGCAAAGAGATTGACAAGTTTGAAGTTAAGTCTGGAAAGAATGAACCACAGTAGACATGATTGATGATCTGGGAAATGCATATTGTACAACATTAGACAATAATATGACCCTTTCATGAAGTATGAGAGTTTAAATCAGTTCAACAATCCTATTAAGAAGCTAATTTGATTTGGAAAAGCTGTCGTAATTAATAAATCAGACGTAGAGAATAAGTTCAAAGGAGTCCTTTAAGTCATTCTGGAAACATCTGTATCCATTCTAATGGGATCATGAGACATATTGAGACAGTCATTGATGTTGAGAGGATTCTCGCTATGATGGACATATGCTGTTTTGCTTAGATTGCTATTTTGAGTCTTTATAACTTTATGTTTTCCTATTCAAGGAAAAATTAAGGCTATTATAGGAACACTAGTATCGAATTTAATGAGTTCATGCAACATATTAAATTTGCTATTTCGAGAGGATTCTCACCATGATAGATGGATACTTTTGACTTATTTTGCTGCTTTGAGTCTTTATAGCTTTACGGGTTTATATCGAAGGAATCACTCAAGTTTTGACCTGTATCGATTTAAATCAGTTAATGGAGTATTTTGAATCAGTCATTAACATTGAGAATTCTTACCTCGATACATTACTACGACAGTAATTTGGTTACAACACCATATTGAGTCTATATGGCTTAACGCATCTACAGGGAAGGAATCATGTCATTCTTGACCTATGCCAATTTTATTGCGTTTATGGGATACTTTGAATTAGCCATTCCTTTGGAGCGTATCCCTACCACAATGTATTGATGCAAGAGTATTTTGGTAGCTTTACTACTTTGAGTCTTTATAACTTTACGCGTTCATATTAAAGGAATCATGTAGGCCATAAACGAAACACCTGTATCGATTTTAATGAGTTCATATAGAATACTGAAATTACCCATTCGTTTAAGAGGGCTCTTGCCAGAATGGATTGATACTATCTGCTACTCCAACTATGGCTACTTTGAGTTTTTGTAAACTCATCTGTTTTCTATTTGCTATTTTAAATCAACTCAAATAACGAATAGAGGAAATATTCATGGAATAAAGCATACTAGTACAGAAATACATGCTAACTGTGTAATAAAAGAAACATGCCGTTAGCCGCACATCTTTGATTATCTTATCTATTGCAAACTAATGCCAATTACTTTGCTTAATAAGCAAAACTATCCTTAGAATCCTATAGTTGATAGAATCCATGGCAAATAGGCGGTAATATTTATCCAATTTTAAGATCATAAAAGCTTTAAAAACACAATAAGACTGAAATGTATTAGCGTTAAGAAATGACGAGTGGCTATTACCCAATTTCTGGATGTTGTAACCTATGTGCCAGGAAATGTAATATATTTGATAATCTTTAAGGCCACTGGACCTCATCAAATGATAAAACAAATACTGTAGTGGATTATTAATTTATAGAGGCTGGAGAGCGAAAGTAATATATGCTGAACATTTCAGAAACTGGGATAAGATCAATATCTTCTACCAGAAATAACTGATATTCAATTGTTTTATAGGCTATTTCATCGATTCTTTATTTAGAGAGAATGTTATAACGATATTTATTAGAATTTATGCTATCTATTGCAAGTTTGTTGCCGCTACATTTCGTAAAAAAAATTTGCATACACAGTTATTATTCCAATTGTTGTAATCAGAAAGCAATTCATGTAGACATTTACTATGATATGATGCATTCAAAATAAGGGTGATTTAGTGCTTGATAACGATTTCTTTATGTAGATATCAAAAAAATATTTTTGAGAAGTCGTTAGGAATATAATGAACTAGACTAAGTAATCACATCGATCTTGCTGCTATAATAAATTAGTAATTAACATCCTTATTAAAAACTCATTCTTCAGCACTGGCTGGCCATTTTGGAAATAAATACATTTTAACTAATTGAGTGAAAAGGAACATGAAACTAAATAGTGGTTCAACTCGTGTATAAAGTTTAATGCTCTTTAATATATAAATTTTATACAATTAATATTAAAGTATGATAGGTAGCTGTTGTGATTAATTATAATTCGTGTACAAGCATTATGTTACCTTAAAACTTATCCTTTACAACCGATTTTTGAGTTAAAGTAAACTCAGCATTGATGGAGTAAGATTAGGAATTAGGTTTGTTTCCCCTTGCTGAATAGTATCAAAATACAGAAATACTAACCATTACTTCTTTAGTACTTGGATATTTAATCGATTCTTCAAACGGTATTGCTGATTCTAAATCAAATGTTACGTAAAGGTAACTCTTGTACTCTTAAAAGCTGACGAGAGCTAAATTCCAATCTGAATCGGATGATTCAGATTTGCAGCAATTATAGGTATTTTTTGGGTAACTTTGAAGAATCCTTGGGCTTTTTTGCTCTTAATCTATATTATACGTACTTTGGAATCTATTTGCAACGGCGAAAATATATAGAGCTATTCTTTTACAGTATGAAGAGGAAACTGGCGATTAGTTTGATTATTTGAAGCTGTAATAGGAATTTCTTGAGTATAATTATTAGCTGATGATATTAAAGATTTAAATGAGCCATCGTCAGATATGGTGGATCTTCTATCGCCTGCACTGCCATTCTCATGTTTTGATTCATTCTGGTCTTGCAGCTTAGAATCACTTGAATCTTTAGGAATCACATTCCCCAATTTCCATTGAGGAATATTCTTTAATAGGCCTGAAAAGACATCAATTTCGAAAGAAGCTCTTAATGGGCGGTTATTCATTGATTGAACAGGTCGAAAGTTATCAAAAAGTGCGCCTTCGCGGCTGGCAACGTCTTGTCGGTCTTGACGAAAGAAAGCTCGCAATGATCGATATCCTTGAATCTATTAAAAGAGCAATAATGTAGCTATGTTTTTAATGATTGAATTAATCTTTATCTTAAAAATCAATCGTATGCGGGCATAAGACTACTCTCATATCATAAAAATTATATCAAGAATAAATTTTCAGTTATATTTTGCCAGTTGTTATAATCGTTAATGTTGCGTTTGGTGTATTCCAAAGTCAAACCTGACTTTCAGATATCGAAAGTGGATACCGAAATATTATCCATGTTACGTTTTCAGTGCAAGGTGGAATAGTAAGCGAGCCATCGTAAGTCCAATAATCACGTATGCCTGTATAAGATATGATTTACTATATGATTTATAAGGCTGCCTTAAGCAAGATAAAGTAGTTTACAAATAGCTTTAATAGCATGATACCACTGCTTCCAAATTACTCAATTAGTGAATTAGTGAGGATTAGCTTAATATCTACGCTTGAAAAATGTAGCTCTTATCATATTATAGTTCTGCTTTGATCTTCTTCAAGTAGTACAAATTAATTACGGTACAAGAAGATATCGCTAAGATCTATCTCATTTAATAGGCATTAGATAGTTCCCGTTAAAGCTACATCGCTATTTTGCACTTTCTTTACTTAGCAGTAATAAATTTAATATCCTAGCTTAATTATCACGATGCTTTTAGCTAGGATTTTTCTCATTTAGTAGCCATTAGATAACTTTCGTAAAAGCAACTCGCTATTTTGTACTTTCTTCACTTAGTAGTGATAACTTTAATATCTGTGCTTGATTGCCATGATACTTGTATCAAAAATAATATCATACTCTCTTCTCTTGGTAGCTCAAATTTAGGTATTAGTTTAATATCAAAGCTAATGTATTACCGCTGATTCCATTGCGGATGTGCAAATAAGGAGAATTAATTGTGTATTATGGATAGAGACATATTGGAGCTTACAAGTTAAATTTCTGCTGTTATTGTTATAATGGAGTGCCTATGACGGCAATTAAAACTGCAGAAAAATTGCGTATGGAAATTATAGGAAATTATGTTATCGATATTTTTCCTGATGATTACTGATAGTTTGCTAACCTTCACGAGGAACCAAATGAATTGGATTGAATGGAAGGCGCATTTCACGGATATCGTCCTGAAAGAAATTAAGTGTAATAATTATGAAAGATTGAATGAGACCAAGAAGATGCATAAACGACTCTGATTTAAGGCTAGAATTAATTTTAGACATTAAAAGCGGTTTAACACCTTTAGCAATAGCTGCAAAACTTTATTCACTAATACTAATATAATAGCTGTTACGATATAAAATTAGTTTTATTGAGAGATAAGATACTAACACTGTCTGCTTACCTTATACCTGACTTCAGTAATAACATCAGTAATAGCCTTTAAATCAGGGTTTTCCTGTCCTATCTAAATTAAAATTTCTACTTAATGATATTTACACATGATAATACTATTAACTTTATAACAAACTAGTAATTGCTAGACAAATTTCCTCTCTTGAGTAATATAAATTAAAATTTGATCTTTCTCGTTTATGCCTATTCATTGGTTTGACAAACTTTAAGATCAGAATATGTAGCGATTACTTTTAAAGCATATTGTAGAGACGATTAAGAAGAAAAATTTGATATCTTGAATTTCTTTACTATAAATTAATGTACTTATACTGTAAATGTAGGTACTCAACTCCGTCTATTGGAAAGCAACCAGTTGGCAAAATTTAGAGCGATTTAGGGAAAGATATTAATATTTTATTTTTTATGCCTAATTTGTTCTTAACTTCATGTCAAGTTATACAAATCGGCGTTGATTGCTTAATTTACCTGAATAAAAGCTGCCATGATTGCAAGACCTTGTGGAGCTGTCATAGCATCTTCAGCCTGCTTATATAAACTTGTGTTCCAATGCAGAAGTTGGACCTAGCATCCGACGACGAAAATAGCATGTGTTTAATTAGTAATTGAAATAAAAGCTGGCTCATTTTCCGAAGGTATAATAGCTCCTAATTCTCTATAATAACACGATTAGGGGTATCGGCCATGTTTCTTTTCTCATTTTTTATTATTATTTCTCATCATTGAGTTCGAAATTGAATCTAATGAAAAGCATAGCTAATTCATGAGAGATTATTTCATACTGACTTCCATAGGAAATTGCTTGCCAATAACTGTATGTTCAGAACCACGGCTGTTTGTTTTACCCCAATGAAACGAGCAATGTAGTAATTCATATTGATGTTCTAATGGCCCTCCTTGAATGGCTAATAAATGAACGGTCAAAATTATGGATATAACAAGATCAGTCTAGATACTTGATATGCATAGTAATGTAAAAGTAAGTAATTATAATTGAAAAATAAAATTAGATGATTCCATAGCATTAAGTATTCAAATGAAATCATTCTATCTCTTAATATGGATGTGGAAGATCATCTTTACCTAGTCATCTTATAACTCCAATTATGGATAAATAAGATTTTTTACTATGTGAAATAGCATACAATTTCCTAAGTTAGATCTATTATGAATTTGTGTGAAATAAAGTATCATGATCATCTGACGTTAGACAGATCTACTCCCAGTACTTGGACTAGAGAATTGCTATCATCAGTGTCTTGAAATCAATGGTTTCCACACTGCACTGGTGATCGTTTTTTATTAGGAGCAATATACCTTGATCATCTAATACAGGTTAGATTTACTTCATAGTCTTTGCATTAGAGGATCATTATTATCAAATCTTGGCATGGATGATTCTTTACTGTACATTACACTCATAATAATTTTACATTAGAAGAATGTATCTTAGTATTCTGTTGTAGGCAATTTTATTCTCCATATTCAACTTTAAGAATCATCCTTAAGGTACTGCAATATCATTAGTTAGCATTTATTTTGGCGCTACATTTTTAAACATAAAATGGTTGTGCTATAAGACAGTTTTCTTTAAAGCTTACTTGATCCGGGACTAAATGAAATTCGAATAGTATTGCCAGTATTCTTGATTGCGTTTGTTCGGCTGTGAATATATCGAATATCGAGTGGATCTTCCTTTAAATCTCCATCACAATGCTGGTTATCTACATTTATATTAATGGGAGATTGTCTATTGCCTTTGGCAGCAGGAAAGTAATCGTTCCAACGGGATGGTCCTAGTATCATCACAGTATCATAAGAAAAATTGTTAAATTTTCAGCTTTAATATATAAATGTGCACATAAAATGAATGGCATCTGTACTATATAGTGACACATTGTAATGCTAGCGAGATTAACTAACTGCAATAGCTATTGATATTAGTTTAGGAAATCCTATATTAGTAGAGATACCTTATCGATCATGATGATTATAATAAAGTTGTCAAGTGAAAATATATGAATAACGTAATCAGTTGGTATCCATGCCACATTTGGAAATGTAGATGAAATTAATATATCACACAATAGAGTTAGTAGAAGTTTCTACTGTACTAATTAAGAAGCTATAGCTACGGGTAAGATGCGAGAAGATGTTTTGCCAGTTGTATGTAATGCGAGTTTCCTCTATTGATATTAGACTCCCAATAAATTGTAATAAAAGCTGTTAATGTCCGCTGACGTTTTCTTCAGATTTAAATTTTATGGCGCACATATATTTGTCTTAGATACACATTAAGATATTTATGCCTACGCGTATCTTACAAAATAATCATGAAATATTTATGCAATCATTAGAAAGATAAATTTTTGCATACGACAGTAGGCTGCAGAATAGTTGTATGCTACAAGCGCAATGCAAGTCAGCCTGTACTTAATAACATTCAAAATTAATCGACTGGGTTGGATAGTTTCATAATGACTACCTAGTTGATTACAGTGAAAATATTCTAAAAATCAAATTATTCTTGTCTACCTTAGATTTACTATTTTATTAGAGCAGTAATTTGAATCCTATAAATGAGCTCTAGCTTTTTAATGTTTTTATTCCAAAAGTAAATCTGTTTGGTTGAAAATCACAGAAAATGAACTTTATTAAGAATGCCATGGACAATTATGGATTCTAGTTAACAGATAAGACTCAATATTAAATATCTTGTGTTAGTAGCATTGGTCTGTTTGGTTAGAAATCATGTAAAGTAATTTTTATCAAGAGAAACCATGCACAATTAAGGATTTGATTTAACGGGTAATGCTCGATATTAAAAATCTTGTGTTATTAGCAAAGATTTATTTAGCATATGATTACCCTTCAATAATTAGATGTCGAAAATAATTACTATTTGGTGATACAGTGTTAAAAAAATGAATCCAATATTTAATAGTAGAAAACTTTTGTTTTATTCTCATCACTAGGCTATGCAGTTAAGAATTAATTTCATCGATACCATTTCAGGTCCAACTATCACATTTACTTAGCCGAAAAGAATAACTAGTAAAGTATTATGGTCAAGTCGTGTTTTGTCAATATGACAGGTCGATTTATTAAAAATACTATTCAATGCTATCGATATTATTGCTATAATAAAAGGCTTAAAGCATGTATATATATAAATACCATCAAAGCAATGTATCTCTATTAAGGCAGAGGTGGCTGCCAATATTTTTAATGCAGCAAAAATCGTTCTTTATTTTTTACGTTAAATCGACTTAGTATAAGATCTATCTATTCTAGAGTTGTCAGATTGTTATTGCCAGATCTATTTAGCTGAAAACGGTGATTACAGTCAAGAAATTAACTAGATAAACAGTGCTCTGTAATAGCAAAAATCATTTTGCCGATACAGCAAGTTGATGTAGCAAAGAAGATAATCAATTCTGATACTATCAATGTCAGAATAATTAGATCTATTTAGCTCAGAACCTAAGAAATCGCATAAGAGTAAAAGTGCCTCCATTAAGCGAGATGTGATCGAAAAATTGACATGGCTATCCACTTTTAATAGTAACAGATATTTGATCTAGACCATGAACAGCCTATAGTGAAGGTATTTAGTAATTTTATTGATACATGGTTTACTGATGGAACTAAATTCTATGGAAATACTTAAAATTGAGCTATTTATTATTATTGGTTAAAGAATAATTATTTTGCAAGACAGCAAATCAGGATTGTGAAGAAACTTGGTAGATCAATTAAACTAGCTGAATCTGTTTATCTGCAAATATTGAAGACATGACTAGAAATGATTTAAAGAGATCAAATACAGTCTGTCATTATCTTAATTCTATTCAGTAACGAAACTAGCTACTTCTATTACTATACTATAAAATCAAGACAAATTTAGTTAGTTAAACCAACGTTTGGAGAATTGATTATATTATGGACTATTTATGTTTATAAATCCGACCAATGACTCTATTTTTATGTTTTCAACGCAATATTTCTTCTCCATAGAAGCAGTGTTAACGAATAAGTTCTTTTCTGAGAAAATAGTTCAATGAGGTCGTAACATTTTGCGGTTTATTTCATTGAATTCTGCCAGATTTAATTGCAATCTCGAGCTTTTTATGGCACGTTAACTGTACCTTATAATAAATTAAATGCCATCAATTGTTCCGTTTCCATCACCACGACATAATTATGAAGGAATGATAGGTAAGCAAGTTCATGTTCTTCAATTAGTCCCTGTTTTGCTTATTCCATATTTATTATTATCCGAGTTAGAAAGATATGGATGTAGTAAAACTTGGTTTGTTAGGGTAGTAATATTAATTAGCTAAGGCCTTCTTAAAGTTTAAATAAAGTAGGAGGAATGGTATAACGAGTCTTTGCCTATTGGCTACCTTACTTCATACTCAGGAAGCAGTAAGTGATTGTATAAAGCTAAACTAGAATATTATTGATTTAATAGGCAAATATTGAAATGAACTATCAGCCTTGCTAGTTCTGCTATTTGGTCTGGAAATTTCCTATAACTAAAGTGAATATCGATATTGTATTTTCCGTAGATTAAGGTTCTTTTTTCTACGTGTCCATTAAGTGTTTTTTAATCCTTTCTTTTAATACTTGAGTATTTAAGTCTCAAGTCTTCCTGCTAAAGTTATCGGTTAGGAATCTTTCTGAAGTTTGCATTTAATCTATTCGAGGCAATTCATACCTTTATTTCTTCCTATAAATTCAGTTCTTGTGATTATCGAATAATAGTCTCACCCAATTTAACATACAAGTAGGAACTAGATGCTCGATCTTTCGTTAATGATAGTTGGGAGAGATATTATAAGTCATTAAATATAGATTAGTATTCTCATTTTCTCACTATAAATTACGAGTTTGATATGCACAACATATTTCAATGTCGTAAGTAAGCCTAACATAGGTATAACTCAAGGTGTTCGGGAGTTATAGTAACACTAATTGGTTAGGAGCATTTTTTAAATTGAAATACAAGTATTAAATTAAAGAGACTTATAAATATGCGAATAGCTCCATTTTTCTCCCTGTTAAGTGCAAAAACTACTGTGCAAATCAAATTTTAACATCATAAACATACTTTGGGAATTATAAACAAAGTCGAGAGTCTTAAGATATTAGTAGATTACGTTTTAAAACTAGGTTATATTATCAGTGGTACATATTTAACACTTGAGATTTTTCTATCTATGAAATACCATATAAGATTGTTATGTAATCTACTTCTAGTATCATAAACCTACTATTAATTTAAGAAAAAATAAACAGAGCTTAAGAGTCTTGAGATATTAATTAGCAGAGATTTTTAAAACTGAATTATATCACTGATGATATTTTTAACAAAGCTTACAGCCTTGAGATATTAATTAGCGGGAAGTTTTGAATATGAATTCCATTACTAATGATATTTATAAGCATCACTACTTAATTTTTGTTTTCCTGTCGATAATGGTTAGAATTGTTGCATAATCCAGAGTCCAGTATCATAAACTTGCTGTTAATATAAGAATAATAAACAAAGTCTAGAGCCCTGAAATAGTCGTCAGTTATGGACTATTTGAGACAGGATTACATCATCAATGATAGCTATAAGTACAGTAGAGCTTCCCATTTCTTACTCATAAAAACTTTAGATTCTTTTACCAATTAAAAATTTGAATTTTGTCAGCTTTATATACAAATACTTTGATAAAATCTATTGACTAGTTTCAGTTGTGATACTTTCTGTAAAGTGTAGAAAATTCTTTCACGTCTAATAGGAGTAGTCCTAACTTCAAAATGATTGTATGTTATGGTTATGCTGTAATGATTAAATAGTCAAAAATAGGACAGAATGAATGTGAAAGTATTGCTCGATCGGACTAAGGATAAATACTAATATCCACTTATTACTAGTATTAGTAAATAGTTGCATGCTTGTAGAAGAAATGACCTGAATGGATCGATATTTTAAATCGTGTTATTTTTAAGTAAGCCCTGTTTCTACCTTTCTATGGTGGAGTTGATTACTTTAATAAACAAATAGTCATCGTTTTTTGGTTGTTGAGGTTGAAATAGCTCATTAAAAGATTACTGAATAAAGAAGGAAATTCCAATGACCTTACTATTTCTATAACAATATTAAAGTTTTCCTCGTTATTAAAAAATCAATAGCCTCGACAATCGTCCTCTACTCACCTTTAGCTGTATAATTCCAACGATTAGCTGCTTCAATGATGGCTGATGAAGATTCATAGCCTTCTTTCTTAGCTTCTTTCTTGGATTGAGCAAGTAAATCTACCATACTCAATTTATGCGTTAGTCGTGATTCCATTTTGATTGGTACGGTACTATTTTTAAGTGCAATTGAAGACAAAATAATGGGATGGTAAAAATTTTTCTTTCTTTATATTAGTAACAGATAATGATTAGAAAATAAGATCAACGTAGCAGGATACAGTTGAAATAATTGAGAAATGAACTGAAGGAAAGAATACTAACCGTGGGAATAATAGTTGATTCTTAAATCAAGTACTGGTAATGCACAGATACTATTAATAATATTTTAGATGATTTTCTAGCTAGTACTTGCCAATAAGTACAAGATCATTGAGAAGAATCTCTTTATGCTAATGTAATCGAATTCGATTCAGCGACGTATTGACATTGTTTCCAATGTATAGCGAACATATCGCAACCATATGGCAAGCTTATTTTGAATTATGTTAAGCTACCATCGTATAAGCCATAGCAATCATTCGATGGTATCGTTCCTAGATACTTTAACTCATTGA